TACATGTATTACACATGATCACTAAAGCATTTGTAAGCGTCTCTCCTCAGTCTTCGCACTCATTTAGTTGCAATTTCAAGATCGGCTTAAAAGCAGCCTCAGATACATTTGTAGGAACGTCAAAACATGCAGCTTAAATATTAATAGAAATTATACTTGTTCATTGACTTGATAAAACCTGATAATATTACTAATTAGTATTACCATGGGGCTTTAATTGGCAGATTTTCTTCTTTGCCACTTGTAAGGATATATTATGTGCAACTAACCATAGCTTATGGAGCTGCCTTAAAATGAAATAAACACATATTTTCATTCCACTGCCTATGTTTAGCCCCACTCAAAACACAAAGCAACTCAAATTCGCTGGCTTTGGGGATTTTCACCAAACTCTTTTATGAAATGTGCACAAGATCATGTGACCTCAAACACTCTGTCTGTCGCGGTGGAGAAAGAAAAAGTTCAACATTTTGAATTTTCTCGCTTTCCGCGGCGTCTGTGTCGCTGGCATTTTTTTCGGAGACGCTGAAGTCACCAAAGCCTTCGTGAAAGCCTCAGCGGCGTCTCCCACTGGCGTAAAAAACGCCTGAGTATAATCCTGGCTTAACTTAAAGCTCAGTGTACTTCAGTATCTTGCCAGTCTTATCACATTTTAGATACCACTAGTGAAGACCAGGAAATGTTTGTACCGCATGATATTATCCCCACTCAAAAAGTAGAAAAAATGTGGAAGATGACAACAAGATATTAATAAATGATCACTTATTTGTTACATGTAAGTGTCATATTCCTCAGTCTTCGTGCTAATACAGTATGGATGATCAGCTGACAGGCGACACATTTTTAAGCAATATTTATAGCATTTGAGAATTTGTCCACTAATGTGAATGGTCAGTAAATTCCAAAATACACACCTTAAATTATTGTTGTTCATCTTTTCATATCGACTCCCATCTGATTAAGCATCTGACCTCTTTTTCCATATTCTATCACGTTTAATCTTCTCTTGACAAGAGTCAATTGTTTATACAGCAATCTGTGTTCATTCCACTTTGTCATCAAAATGTCATTTGATACTTTTTTAGGGATTTCACCTCGCAAAATTGCAGCTGTTGTTGAAGAGGCTTTACTGGTGCAAATTGATTTTGCAGTATTCACACAAATCTGACCACGAGTTGATGGAAGTGATGCTGATGTCCATGTAGGAAATAGAGACGACGATGATGATGAGAGGGTATGTCTGTGACTGTTAGAATGGCTGTTATCTTCAGTAACAATATGGCTTCTTGTTGCCGGGCTATCAACTTGAATGTGACTTGTGTGATTATCTTCCTGAGCTAATTTCACTTCTCTGATTTTTACCTTTCTTCTCTTTAGGTATGCTCTTCTGTTCTCTTTGCTGTGCCTACCCATTAGGCCTATTTACCATTCAGTATCCTATAAACATGCTCAGGGGTGTACCAGGCCTAGCTGTCCGCTCTAAGGGGCAAATTTCCCGATCTCTGGCAAACTTTCCCAGTCAGGGGGGGGGGGGGGGGGTCAAAAGGCTAATTATTCCCTGTCAGAGTGCTATCAAATCCTGAAATAGACAAGATATAATAAATTGTTGAAAATTTAGTGAGCATTTGGTAACACAGGGGAAATCGAACAGTGATTTTTTTTACAGGCCTTCATTTCTAAAAAAATCAGGAGCTCTGTTGATCTCTCTCCTTAGTTTACTAAGGTGCTGAACAAGGAGCTCTATCTTTGCACATCTGTATTTCAAGTAGTACTAAAGAGCTCAGTATGTAAATCGAGGTCCTGAAATGTTGTTAAGGAGAGCTAGAGCTCTGGTGCTCAAAATATTGAGATCCTCAAATGTGAAGGTCAGGGTAAACCATTTTAAACCAACAACAAGTTCTATTCTGAATTTGAACTTGGCAAATTTTTCCAAAAAAAATTTGAAGGTGAAATTAAAAATGTCATGGCCGAGGAAAAATAAAGGGTGCTACTGAAGGGTTCACACAACAATTATGCTCTCCATAGACGTGTTACCTATTAAACGTGTTATAAGGGGTTGACATTTCTGACTGAGCATAAGTCAAGTTACATTTACATGTACCTCTCGTGTTGAGAACTGAATTTGACATTCTTAAATGATCGAGAGACATTTTTACACAATATATCTGAATACGACATGACATTTGCACTGTCCAGGCCGACGCTTACCCGTGCCCGGGAGCTAGCGCTAGCATGGTATCGTGGGTAAAAATGTTTCCAGCTCAATCACTGTCAACTCACCACTCAGAAACTGGGACCAAATGTCCGGATTTCTGTTTGGACTCGGAGGTCAAGTCATCTTTGGTTTTAAAAACAGCATTGTTTACAATTATTATTATTGAATCAGCGCCTTCAACTGGAACTCAAGGTAAAATAAGTTGAGTTTTCGGTATTCTTCTAGTCTTCTACCATAGTATGGTGGTAATTTTTTTTTTTAAATAATTTTTATTATAAAAGAAAACACGGCGTCCGACTATTTGACTGTAAGCCTGGAAGTGTACTCGAGTACCTCATTACACGGTTATTCACAGCCTTACAGTACACGCGAGGTTTCTTTAGATTGGTGCCGCCTCTGTGCAACGAGCTGCTTGCGGCGAGTTCACAGGGCGCACCATCTGGAAAAACCGACCGTACACTGCATTTACATTACGCACAACAGGGTCAAGTGCGTTATTTGTTTTATAAAATACCGACACATGAAAATCAAAACAAACAAAAGTTTAGAGTCTACGAGAGTTATATCTAGAGTATATTATGTTCATGTTGGTTCTAGAAAATGGAAAGATAAGACCCTGCGGCCTTGCAGGCTTACCAAAAAGTCCACGGGATTCCACTTGCCTTGAGTAAAAATAAAATCCATACATCAGACAGCTGAAATTCATGGCTTCATTATAGAATCCATAAGTCAAAACAGCTAGGCCTAACTCCAAGGCAAAAGTTAACAAAAAATTGTTTTCTAATAATACTCCGCTCCCCGCTTTTGATCTATATCTAGCTAGATACGCGTACGCTGCGCTAGATATCGATTTCTTAGCGTGCAATATGACTTTTATATAATTGCTAGGGTCTAATTATTAAGTTGGATTAGACTAAGCCTCACACTTTGAGTTTGATTTAGCACAGAATATCACGGACCTCCTCGATCGCTGCGATAATTTAATAGCGCCGCCAAGCAGTATTCTACTAGAATCTAGGTCTAGGCCTACGCCTTTTTTTTCAACGAGGACGTCCGCATTTGGGAGGTGCATTCCACGGTTTGAAGGTGTGTAGATCTAGTTCTAGATCTAGACTAGATCTAGAATCTATATCTAGTAATGAACGTCCACGTTTGCCTGTAAACACAAACGCTGATTATATTTATTACCTACATCTAGATCTAGATCATAGATGTCTAGACTCTACTATCTCTAGACTAGTTCTAGATCTAGTCTAGATCTAAACTCTAGAGCTAGGGAGTAGATCTAGAGTCTAGGCCCTTTTTGGAAGTTAAATTAAACTTGTTTCGGAATTAGCCTAGATCTAGACCTAGATTTAGATCTAGCTCCGTTGAAAGTTAGGCCTACTGATCGTCATGACCATCATGCTACACCATAATTAAAGAACTCACCCTAGAACAAGTTGTAACCCCGTTGTCCAGTAATGTCTACTGCACTACATAAAAACCCGTTTTCCATCACAACCATGTGCAAAAGAATGTAACTCTCATGATCAAAAACAAACAACCACAACAGATCTTCCAATTCCATGCAACAGTATACAATACGGGAGCTGTCGCATACATTTAGGATGAAAAGAGCCTCTTCAATTCCGGAAAAAATGAATACTCCATGCAAATGGGACGTCATTTTCTTTGTCCATACTCATGATCTAGATCTAGTCATGCATAGGCCTAATCGGTCCTGGTCTAATGAAAATGCATGGATGCTACGTAGGAGTACCACGTTGCCGTTGGGCCGTTATAGAGGTCTATAGACTAGTCTAATTATTTGTTTTTAGTAAATAAGCCTATGGCCTGCCGTCAACCCTGGGTTGTGATCTCGTCCAAGTTAATGTAATTAAAACAAGTACATGCATAAAATACTTACTCACCTCTCTCTGTTGTTGTCAGTTGTTCAGTGCAGCTAGCTTTTCCAATCGTGATCTGCATGTATGCGCGTGGACGTGGCCACGTCCACGCGCATACTGCACGGCCACTGTACTAGCTACCGAAATTGCCGCGAAAAACCTGGGGCGCGCGAAAGATGCCCGACCGCGGACTGGCCTCGAAGAACCACTAGAGGGCTTTAGGGTCTCCTCTATCGTGTCAGGCGGTGAAATATGACACACGGCAGATCCTTTACACACTTTATGTATGATTTAGCACAGGATACCGCGGACTTCCTTGGATCGATGCGATAATTTAATTCGGACATACCAAACACTATCTAATCCCTTTGCTTCAGTTTTTTTTCACCGAGGACGTCCGCATTTGGCGAGTGTCCACGGTTTGAAGGTGTGTATTATAATGAACGTCCACGTTTGCCTGGAAACACAAACGCGCACGCACACACACACACACACACACACACACAATAATAGAAAATGGTGCAATTATGCTACAATAGCAGCACTCTCTGCCAAATACATGAAGGTGTTTGCAAGTCTGCACCCCAATTGTGCCCTTATTTCTTAGTGTTCTAATCAAGAGAGTCTTCGGTTTAGGAAAATGCAAGATAATGACATACCTTATTGGGGAATACAAGGCCTTACATGAGGCCTGTTGGTCGTAAAACTAAAGGCTAATCCTGGTGATTGTTAACACTTGTATTGTGGGTATACAAACAAATGGTATCGAACTGCATATGAATTTGAATAACAATTCTTTCTTTTCAAAGGAAATTTCTTTTCTTACGATCTTTCCCAGCCGATATGAAATCATTAAAATATAATTTTTAAATGGATCTTTTGTTTCATGTTTTTAGAAGCGTCTTATGCCTACGAATGCAAGAAGAAGATTATCCCTGTGAAGGTGAGTAATGACTTCAAAGCTTCTGGTTGGCTAGGCGGTATCACGGCAGGGAAGATCTACTACATGGTTCAGCAAGCCGAGCTTGTCCCCGAGGTACTCACCAGCATCATTGAAAAAGAATTCGCAGTGCAGAAAGAAACGGTCCAGAACGTGACCGCTGCTCCCGGTATGTCACTGACATTGTAAAGAGGGTGAGAGAGAGAGAGAGAGAAGAAGAGAGAGAGAGAGAGAGAGAAGAGAGAGATAGAGAGAGAAAGAGAAAAAAAGAGAGAGAGAGAGAGAGAGAGAGAGAGAAAGAGAGAATATTATTTATATCTAAATAATAACCTTTATGTCATTAGTTTATATCTTTTGTTTTATTCCTTGATTACGTGATAAGTTGCTATTCTGCGTATATCATTTTTTCAATAAAAAACTAACCTTCTAGTTTTTGTTCGTACTCTTGCATGCTTCTTTATTAGTATGAATATTTTAGCATAATATAAATAAGTATACATGTATACTTACAATTACAAATTTTTTATACAGAGATTTATTTTAGTTAAAGTGAGTAAAACTAATCTAGCAGAAAGAACAAGGCGAATAATATTTTTGTTGGTGGTTAAATTCATATTTTGTGATATGTTGTTATAGATGTATTTGTTTTTAAATGAGTTTCGTTTATTTACTTGTGCTCTATTTTACTCGAAAGGTCCCCCGTCCCCAGAGCAAGAACCGAAACCACCTCCTGTGGAATCTGAAGTACCCGGATGGGATTCCAAGAAGGTCCAGGATTGGCTGGCAGCTAACAGCGTCACAACACGTAACAAAGCTTTGAAAACCCTCAATGGAACCCAACTACTGCAACTGAAGAAACTACTGATCACAGCCCCACAAGCTTTCTATCAGTCAATGAAAGATGATCTTAAGGTTCCACTTATTGATGTCCTATCACTCGCTGCTGCTCTTGAAAAACTAAACTAGGTGATTAGTATAATGATGATGATGATGATGATGTAAAAGTTAACACTTTATATGCCACACAAATAATCTCCCTGAGCCATTTTATATTTATCAAGGGCTACAATAATATTGAATTTTTCCAGAGCAAATTCTATCTATAGCTGTGGTATAAGGCTGGGACTGTCATCGAGCTAATCAAGGCCGGTAAAGGATAAATTTGCAAAAACTAGTATGTTACCCGAATGACATCGTGGGTACCTATTATTTTGTGCAAAAGTACACGAGTGGACACTGAGCAACCGTGCATAAAGGATAAGAAAGCTAACGCGGCGTTAAAACATATTGTCAGCCGTTTGCATTATTTGTACACAGTTAGTCATAATTTGCACACACCGGACTTGCAAGGAATATCTAAATTTGTTTACAACTCTCAGGCCTGTAAACAGCAACACTGGATGTCCCAATAATGCATTACTTAAAGGAAACCCAAAGGAATAACTTTAGCTATTCTGAGAGATGTATGGTTTTCTTGCCCATTGGTAAACATTTTGATTACTTTTACCGAATACATAATTTATAAGAAATACGTTAAACATTTGAAAGCAAGAGGCAGATTGAAGGATAAAACTCTTTTAACTGATTTGAAACATGAATTTATGTCACATGTACATTCTAAAACAACAGCAAAGATTGATGAAAAACAGGTAAAAGCTTTGACTGATATATGCTAAGATAATGCTTTATTTTTATATGTATATTTGTTCTTCTAAACGTTGTACATTGTAGATATGTGGACTAAAGTTCCCTGAAAGGTTAAAAATGAAAAATCAAATAGTAATTTATGAAACACAAATAATTGATTCAAAAATAATTTTCTTATTTTTATTTACGAGTTTATCTATGAAACAGATCGACAGTAAGTAACGAACTCTATTATTTCTTGATGGTTATTCCGGAAGAATTTAGTTAGTGCATAGGGTCTCCCATTTTTGAAGTACCAAAGGATTTTGTCGGTTTTAGTATTAGTGATAACCGTAAAAATACTGTCAGTTCTTAAATTTACCGATGTACCATGGATTCAAAAATAATAGAATTACAAAAAAGAGGAGAATGAATATTCCGCACTCCCTTTTACTTTTGTATTAATGGCTTCACTGAAATAAATTTTTAATAAAGACATATTTTATGGATTATGAAAGTTGAAGTTCTATTTTGTCGGTAACTTCTTTTTGAGACTGGAAAGATAAGAATGGACTGAGAGAGAGGGAGAATGATAGCGAGAGATAGAAAGAAGATCAGAGAGAAAGAGAGACAGAAGGAGCGAGAGAGAGAGAGAGAGAGAGAGAGAGAGGAGAGAAGGAGTGAGTGAGAAATGGAGAGAGATAATTAGAAAGAGAAATAGAGGGAGAATGAGAGAGATAAAGTGTGAGAGAGAGAGAGAGAAAGAAAAAAAAGAAAGAGAGAGGAAAATAGAGAAGGAGCGATTTAGAAAGGAAGACAAGAGAGAGAGAGAGAGAGAGAGAGAGAGAGAGTGAGAGGGAGAGAATGACAGAAAGAGAGACAAAACAGAGAGAGTGAGAGAGAGATGAAATGAGAGAGAGTGAGAGAGGGTGAGAGAGAGAGAGAGAGTGAGAGAAAGAGATATATTGAGAGAGAGAGAAAGAGAGAGAGAGATAGAGAGAGAGAGAGGAAATCTTATATTAGTCTTATTCGTATCAGGAAAATTCCAGGATGGACAATCTCACCTTGGCCAATTACCCCCGGAAAACTACCCCCCCCCCCCTCAAATATCCCCGCGAAAATTACCCTCAAGAAAATTACCCCCAATAGACAACCTCCCCCGAGGACAAATATCACAGGAAAGTTTAAATAGCCCCTAACCTCAGGACAATCACCTCCCGTTGGCAATTACCCCGAGGACAATTAATGATAATAATAATAAGATATTTCTATACCGCAAATTGCATATTGCCTTTATGCGGTTTAGAAGGGAAATAGTTGAAAGTAAAGGAAACAGAAGTTGCATTACAAATTACATCAATCAATTCAATTATCATTAAAACTTTGCAAATGAAATAATACACGTACATATTACAGATCACTTACAATCAAAATACGAATAGTCCATAATTAAGAGTATCCTACATTAATCTACAACATTACATATAAAAGGGAAAAGGTCAAAAGGGCTATTCAGGAACACGACTGCATTGTTTTAAAGAACCAGCATTTCGAATTTGGAGGGGGAGATTGTTCCAAAGAAATACAGAGAAATGCAGCTACATAAACGAAAGAACCCCCCCCCCCCCCATCCCTGAAATTTATCCCCGTGTACAATTCCCCCTCCCGCCAAGGACAACCACCCCGAGGACAATTACTCCCCTCCCCCTGTTCATAAAAGGAAAAGTCCCCCCTGTTAATACGTTGGTTTTAATAAAGAAAGATTTTTTTTTTTTTTTTTTTTTTTTTTGGGGGGGGGGGGATAATTGTCCTAGGGGGGGGGGGATGTCGGTGGTTATTGTCCTCGGCGGTGTAAAGTTGATTTAATCTCTTCCCCCTTGCCGCACCCATTTTATTTGGGTATTTTTTTAAAGTTTAGCGACGCCAAAAGCCAAATAGAAAGACGAACGATGGGTGTTTTATGTGCCTCCTGGCAAATTTTTCGAAGTTCAGGAAAGCGGTTGTCCATTATTTCTTTGATTTGTCGGGCTAGTTCGTTTATACGTTTGTTTAATGATTGTTTTACATGACTGCTAAGAACGTCACAGTCAATGCCTTATCAAAGGGAACAACCACATTGACTTTGCTTCGAACCTGGGACCTCCCGATTACGCCACCACTGCTCTACCACTGAGCCATCGCACCCTCTCCTTACGCAGTATTACAATCCATTATCAAATGGATGGTGCTGATGTTGGAGATAATGATGATGGTAAAAATGAAAATGAAAATGAACATATGATGATGTAAATATTCCTGACACAGAATATGTATGTATTGTGGAAAATCACCCCTGGAGCGATTAATAGCTCGGTCATCGACAGGCAGCCGGTTGCCTTGTTTATATTTACTTAGCAACCGGCGACGCTATGCATTTAATACGTCACGATCGCATATATTCTATAAATGCAATTTATTGAATAAGGTTACAATGAAGTGCATAGGATGAACCATTTGGGCGACCAAGTGGATCAGCTTGTATGCAGGGGGAGTTTCACAAAGCCCTTTTCAGTGACAAATCTGCCGATAACCAATCAGAAGCAAGGATTTCAGTAGCTTATAACAAAAACTGTGATTTGTCACTGATGACAAGTTTTGTGAAACGCCCCCATGGTTAGTGTGTAGTCATTATATTAAACAATTGAGGAAAGGTATCATTCTAATATGTTCTCAATAGTAAACACAAAAATGACATTGAAATAAATTGAAGGTAAATAAACGATAGCAATAAAGGTGCATGCAAAACACACATTATTACTTGTTACTAACATGTATATATGTGTGTGTGTGTGTGTGTGTGTGTGTGTGGGTGGTGGGGGAAAGATGGTACGAATACTCCCTACAGAGTGGAGAGAGTGCACATACTGGCTTGAAAGTCACTGACAAAGAATAATCATAGGAAAGCGCATTGGTGCAATCACTGTATTAAAATTTCAGTACGGTCACACGCGCTTTAGTGACCCTCCGTATGAAAAACCAACCTGTCTATAAAGATCTCATTTTTCGTTTTAAGGGACACTAGTTCTAAAGAAAACCATGCACACAAACCATCTGCCTATAAAGACCATTTCTGTCTCGAGTCCATTGAGTGTTCTTTATGTATAATTTATCTTTATACACGCACGTGGCTTTAACGTACTGCAACTTCAACATATAGAATGGGACGACACGAAGATATGTTTGTCAACAACGGCCAGCACTTTATTGGCAAAGATTTTTTTCTTCGTATTAATAAACCTTTCAGGGAATAGGCTCTGTGCCTATTTGTAATCATTCTACACACAGGTAAAACGTCTTCCAGTGCTATATGTTTATACCCGTGAGCCTTATTTGTAATGTTTGGGAAAACGATTTTTATAGTGAAATGAAATTATGAGGAACTTGGAATTGGTACTAAAGCAGATGCTCCTATTAACTTTAGGCAAAGCAGCCAGTTTGATTTGATTTGATTTGATTTGATTTATTGGTTTCTGCATCTTTTTTCTTTTTTTCATCATACATTTTCATGAACATAATATGGCTTGATACAATATTTCAAGTGCATATAATTTTATACAGATAATAAACGATATTAAACAAATATATTGAATTTAAACAAATATATTGAATGCATAATTAACATACATTAGATGCAGGAGGGCTACAGAAATAAGCAAAGTAGCTTGACGTGCCCGCAGCCCTCAAATTAGATACAACAATACAACTAAAAAAATAAAAAAGAGTGACTTGCAGAGAAGAAAGGAAAGGGGAGAGAAGAAGCGTTGGTAATAATACAATCAATCTCATACATCTGCTGATTGAATGCAGGTTCATTCATGAATGGAAAAAACGATGCCAGGTCATGGACGATTACACATCATTGTTGAATATACAGTCAATGTACACACGAACATGAATACAGTAGAATTACACACGACATGATCAATACTTTAGACAATAACATAGTTTTAACTGCCTTCTTAAAAGAATACAATGTCCTAAGGTTTTGGGCAAACAATACATTACACAATAACTTGTCATAATTTTGATTTGTTATGATGATTAACATCATTATTTATCTTAACTTAGAAGACAATATCAATAGCAACACATGTAATTTTTAATTTTTGCAAATAACATCATTGTTCACATAAATGCTCTGATCCGTACTTAGTAAAACCTTGAAAACTCACCGTCGCCCTCACCGACAGATTCCATTCATAAAAAGTTGTTGTTGTGTTTTGGCTTATTGGCGATTAGTCAGTAATTTACTTTACGGCACGTGTTATATCTCTCAATTTTGTATTTTTAAACATATATTTATTTCGTTTTATATTTATCTATCTTTTAAGATAGTATCGAAAAATAATATCGTAAGCAAAACATTCATGGGCTTTGTTAGTGTTTCTTAACAGTACGTGCAGATTATTTGTTATGTCATAAACACCATACATAAACATGTATATAAGATAGTACCTACACAAGCCTCTATATTCAATAATCTTATCATACCTTCTATCATTGTTGTTACTTTTTCTTATTTTTTTTTTTTTTTGCATTATGTTATTATATTTTTAATGTACTGAGTGTAATTTAGCATATTTATAATATTGTACGGTTCTTATTTTATTTTCTTATTACATTATGTTATTATATTTTTAATGTACTGAGTGTAATTTAGCATACTATAATATTGTATTATGTTTTACTGTTCTTATTTTATTTTCTTATTACATTATGTTATTATATTTTTAATGTACTGAGTGTAATTTAGCATATTTATAATATTGTATTATGTTTTACTGTTCATCAAGGGAGGTATTACTTCCTGATATAGGGAACCGTTTCGTTCTGAGAACGAACCGTGCAATAGCTTTTTGTATACTGGACTCGCACTTTTTTTAAAGTATTCCATATTTTTTTCCGGTTGGGATTCGTTTATTCCTGTTAAAAATATAGCCCTTTCTATTATATAGTTAGGGCAATGTACTAAAAAGAGTTTTACAGTCTCTATTTCACTGGGTCATTACAGAAACCGGCCAGTAGCATGAATTCTCAATCTAAGGAGATCCTGGTTAAGTCCAAGGACTCCAAAGCGGAGTCGATGAATAGTTGTTGAATGTTGTCTCTCTAATGAACATATTTAGTGTTTATTAACATCTTTTTGAAATGTTTTCAAATACGAGTTGATTTTGTTTCACCTTTCTTGCCAAATGAGTTTGGAACTTGTAATAATTAAGCTTTTCATCTCTGACAAATTATTATTGACTTCTATTTTCTTTACTAATGCGGCCTTAGCGTGGAAATCCGCCATCTCGTTCCCTTTTATTCCACAATGTCCAGGTATCCACTCTACGTATATCAACTCCTTTACTCTTTAAGTGAGTAGTCATGGTGAGAATTTCCAGAATAAAAGATTCGTCCTATCATAAAAAAGGCTATCGCATTCATAAAAAAGTTGTTGTTGTGTTTTGGTTTATTGGCGATTAGTCAGTAAT